CTCCAAGTGGTCAATATCCTTCTGATGTTGAGGGCTCCACAGCTGGACGCAGCACTCCAGGTGGGGTCTCACCAGAGCAGAGTACAGCAGAATCCCCTCCCTCGACCTGCTGGCCACACCTCTCCGGATACAGCCCAGGATACGGTTGGCTTTCTGGGCTGAAGGTCCGAGAAGGTCTGAGTGCAGTGTGGCCATTCCGTTGGGAACAAAGCCAGGCAGTGTTCTTAGTGGGGCTGCATTATTAACGGGCAAACAAAACGTACTCCGCACCGTCCTGTGCTGACAATCTGTGAAGGAAGCTCCTGCAGTGCAGCTTTCAACCGGTGGGCAAAGCTCTCATTCCCTTAAACGGGCCGGTGTTCCCACACCCATTTCTGCTGCTTGGTCTGGTCTTCCCTCACACGCTCCACCTGGCATTTCAGCTCAGATCACCTCTGGTGTTTAACAGGTCGTTAGGGCCAGCTTCCAGGTGCACCTGTAAGCCGGGAATGCAGGCGTACGCCATGTTTTTCTTCGTTAGCTAATGACATACGGATACAGCACCAGTTCTTAATTGCACTTGTGAACATGCCTATCGCTGTCCCGCTCAAGGGGCGCAGGCTCCGGTCGTCTGACTGTCAGGAGTTACGCAGCGCGCCGGCAGAAACTTGCTCCTTGAGGTAGCCAAGGTCTGGTGAGCGCAGAGCTCAGTCAGGTGTATTTTCTGCAGGTGAACGTGTGCCTTGTCAGGCTTCTGCGAAAGCCAGAGCCAGGCCGGCAGTCTAAAATACTCCTGATTCTGGAGGGGGCTTTTCAGAAGCCACCCACAGTTCTGCAGTGTCCTTGGGGTGAGTTTGGTGTGTACGGCTTATCCTCAGCTCGTCTTTGGGGTGCGTTTTCCCCAAAAACTTTGCGGTTTAGGGACTTGGCTATAAGGTAGGGAAAAAATGGGGTTTGAGAAGGTAAAAATAATGATGTCATCTTCAGCGCGGAGTCAGCGTGCTTTCAGAAATGATTGTTTCTCACTAAATTATCCTTAGGAAGAGGACGTCGGTAGGACTGGGAACTGGGAGCAGTCGCTGAGGCATTCCAGGTGTTGGGCAGAGTGCACATTACATAATTGCCCCTTCCCGCCTCTGGAAGGCCACAGCCACCACAGCACCTCGTGTCAGGCTGGCAGTCACAGCTCCCAGAACGCAGGCGGGGACGTTGCCAGCTGCGTCCAGCTCGTCCTGGGGTGTATCTCCCTGCTGGATCCAAGGCTGAAGAGCACACGTTTCCCACCGTAAATGCTGTGGTTTCCTCAGGTTGTTGCTGTTCTGTCCGGGAGGCGCCCCGGCGGCTCTTACTCCAGGGATCTCTGCCGTTACCGCTGCCAGGTGTTCCCTCCAGCTGCGGCCTTGCTCCTGGAGAGCAGCAGCGCCATTCCACTCGTGACCGTGTGCCGAAGCCCCGCTGGCAGCGCGGGAGTGGGGAAGACGCCTTAGTCTGCCTCAACCTGCGGCCGTGGGGAGCCCTTGCGCGGCTCCGCTTCTGGCCCGCGGCTGGATGGAGCCCCTCT